CATATTTATAAAAACAACCAAGTTGGAAGAAATTAAACAATGCTGAGTTGTCCATGAAGAAAGAGGTCTGGGTGAAGAAAGGCACTTTCAACCTTAAGAAACCAGACATCTTTAGGTATAGAACTGGTCACATTTCACTTCTAAAAACCTCCAAGAAAGAACTCCTTGTGACCTATGAGAGACATTCAAACTCTTAGCTTGGTATTCAAAGTCCTTCAGAATCTGGCAACCTACTTTTCAGCCTTAACTCAAATTCGTTTACTCTATAGTAACTATACTTCAGTTTAACTGGATTACTTGTCATCCTCTATTTGCACATCCCATGCTTTCCCACTTCACTGCCTTTGCTCATGCAGTTCCCCATGTTCCGCATGCCTTTATAGACTGACTGCCAATCTCCTAAATCAGAGGTGTCAAACACATGCCCCACAGGCTGCCTGTAATACTCCAAAGTGCTGTCTGAACCAAAAACGTAATTGGGAACTATTTAACAAAATAAATAAAAATATGAGAAAACATAGGTAACATTACATCTTAAAACTAAGTCAATATGCGTCCTACAGGGATCCTTATGTAACAGATTAGTGGCCCCTGTTTCTGTTCCAGTTTGATATCACTGCTCTAAGGCCTGGCACAGATGTCAGCTCTCTCTCGAAGCCTTCACTGACTTCCCTAGTCAATGATCTTATCCCTTTCCCAGAACTTTCCCAGTCTTTCTTTACTCTCTTGTATGTATTTACACATTATTTTGTATTATAGTAAAGGAAAATGATATACATCCAAATGACAAGCCCCATGAGGGCAGGGATTTATCTTTGCATCTCTCCCACTGAAACAATGCTCTATACATGAATAAATGTGGATTGAACTGAATCCCTGTGGATCTATTTACTACTAACCAGTTTTAGACATCTTGTTTTACCCTTGGATGCTGATTTCTTTGATTTTTAATGCTTATCAGCCCCTCCCATTTTGGGGATGCCTTTAATATCTGCTCCTGGAATCTGACCCAATTCTCCCAGGTCCCCTCTATTCATGACTTACCATGAAGCTATCATGCACTCATATTCAATAGCATAAACTCTGCCATTCTGGTATTCTAGGAACAGAGCCATGTGGCCACTGCCCACCACCACACAGAATGGGCTGTGGAGACATTCTAATGCCTGTTCTGAACGTATCTATTACTATAGTTGCTATGAATCATTGACTAAAACTCTTGAACAGCACAGCCATCCCCCCCGCCTCCGCCTCCCCCTTTGTTCAGTTCTTCATTTCTCATGCCTAGCCTCTGGTCCTTTCTTTTCCAAACTGTTAGATAGCTGTTTAGACCCACTGCTTCCTTTGCACTAAGATTATAATAACTGGCAAATTGCTCCACACCACTCACATGTGCCTGATGAGATACAGCCTCTCTGAGGATTCATTTTTCCTTGGCTGAGTTTATTTATAGGAATTCATTTGACACTACCTGAAATCATTTTATTTAACTGTGTAAGAAGGCATTTATTTTCCTCCTCCTCAGAGTAGGGCAATTCTTGAGTCCTAGTGTTTCTGCCTTTCATCAAGAAAGTCCATTTGGACATTGACATAGGGCCTTAGAAGTAGAAATGATTCATTCACTACAATTCATTGTTTAGGCTCAAGTTTTTATATACTAGGGCATAGGTAACCTAAAGCATGAGGTACAACTGAATTTTGTTTGACATCCTCATTAAAAACCTGACCCAAGTAGGAGTTTCTTCTGACAATGGACTGTAGAAATGAGCCAATTACAGAATATATTTGAATGGTTTTGGATTTATAAAAAGTGTCTTTTTCCTTTTTATTTTTTAAAATATTTTCCAAACATATGAGGAAAATTATCTGACACCTGAATGGTAGACTTGAATTTCTTTCTTCTCTTGCCCACAGAAGAAGCAGTCTTCCTAACAATTGAGGGGATATTGAGAGGAAAGATTGAAGGCATACATATGTATACCATGAACCCAAGTAACCCAGAATTAGCAATATCCCTGTCCTCAGACTGCCGGCACTGCTTTCAGTTCAGCCCCTGAAAGCCATCATCCAAGGGAGGAACCCTTGTGGAGAACAGGTTCAATATTTCTACCACTGAGACCAGCTGCTGAGCAATGACCAGCAATGAAGTAGTCAAGCCAGTCTAGCCGGAGACACAAAACACCAAGAAGAAACAGGAGCTGGCATGTGCCAGGAGGTCAATCCTTCTCAATCACCATCTCCTTTCAGACCCTGAGAACCTGTGGAAGAGAAATGCCCCCTGCCCTTGTGAAAAAGGAGCTTGCTACATCCACCACCACCACCATCAACTGGAGATCAGCTGCTACCAAACTGGCAGGTAAGGCCAAAAATCTAGGGGACAGCAGGGCCCTTTTGACCACCAGGCCCGACTTCCCTCCCCTGCTCTCCCAGCCATGGTCCCCAGAGGTAATGCTTGTGAAAATGCAACCTGGCCACTGTCTCTGCAGGTGTTGTGGCCCAAACTACTGAAGACACAGAAAAGAAAGTTCTTACTGCCAAAGGCCTTGACATCGTCAAATGATTCAACAGCAGAAACCAGTCTAGTTTTAACTAATTTAATGAAAATACCATTAAAGAAAATACATTACCATCTGCTTTGCCACTACATCATAAGAACCAAAGGGACCTTTTCATTGACCTTGGGGTGAAATCACCTATACGTAATACTTATGCACTTATACGTAACAACAACAACAAACAATAATAGCTAATATTTATATGCTGCTTATTACATGTAAGTCATTGCACTTTATAATTATTATTTCATTTGATCCTCACCACGGTTCTGGAAGGTAGGTGCTATTATTATCCCCATTTTACAGATGAGGAAACTTGAGGCCAACAGAGGTTAAATGACTTGACCAAGGTCACACAGCTAGGAAGTGTAGTTCCTCAAGAATAGGGGTTGACTTGCTTTTCTAGTTATGTCTCTGGCACTTAGCCCAGCGCTTGGCACATAGTAAACATTTAATAAATGCCCTTTGATCCGTTCCTTCAAATCAGATAGAAAAGATAATCACAAATTCCTGGTGTTTCTAATAGTACCTTTCATCTATAAAGTTTGAAGGGCTTTGTAAACAGATTCACTGATCTTCGTTACCCCCTTCGGAGACAGGCAAAGGGCTCCTTTTATCCCCTTCATTTAATTGAGGGACTGAGAAATGGCATATTTAACATCCTCAGGATGGGATGCGTGGCACTAAGGGAGGTGGACTCTTTCCTTGGTTGTTTTTAAATTCATCGTCCTGACTCCTTTTCTAATCCTGCTTCAACAGAGATTCAAGAAGCCGTTTAAATCTGTCTTCACACCAGACCTAGCAGATGCTGTAAAGTAGGCAATGGGTCCCTGGGGAGTAACAGTATGTAGGGTAAGTAAAAGTCTTTTTGTGCCACAACTGAATCCTGGAAAGCAGGGTTGAGGGGAGAGAAGATTCCTCTTTCTTATTTTAAAGTTGGTGTCAGTAAGCTAACATTTACTACAGTGATTCTCCAAAATAAATAAATAAATGAATGAAGAAAAAATTCTACTCTCATGAGGAATCATAACAATTGAAATGGGTGAGCATCACCACAGGAGAATTGAAACATACACGTTAGTCCGTTAGTTAACACAAGCAGGTATTAAGTGCCTAGTCCAGGGGTGGAGAAGCCGCGGGCTGACGGGCACATGTGGCTCTCTATACCCTTGGGTGAGGCCTTTTGACTGAGTCCAAGTTTTACAGAGCAAATCCCTTTTATTGAAGGGATTTTTTCTGTGAAGTTTGAATCCAGTCAAAAGGCTGCACTTGAGGACCTAGAGGGCCACCTGTGGCCTGGAGGCCGAGGATTCCCCACCCCTGGCCTAGTAAATGCCAAGCACTGTGCTAAGCACTGGGGATACAAAAAGACGCAAAAGACAGTACCTGCCCTTACTGAGTTTATAATCCAATGAGGGAGATGATAGGCAAACAACTACATACAAACAAGCTCTAGACAGAATAGGAAATTATCAGAGGAAAGGCAACAGAAGTAAGAGGGACTGGGAAAGGCTTCCTGTAGAAGGTAGGGTTTTAGCTGGGACTTGAAAGAAACCAACAAATCATCGAGTCAGAGATGAGGAGGGAAAACATTTCAGGGATGGTGGATAGCCACAAAAAATGCCCAGAGCCCAGAAAAGGAGTGTGACTTCTCTTCAAAAACTTAAGCCATTTTGTTGAGTTTTTTATAAGGTCAAGTTTAATGTAGTAAGTATTAAACTTGTGCCACGTTTTATACTTATGCTTCATAATATAATGATGATGATATACCACCTGTAATATACTTCTGTATTAGGCAAGTTTTGTTTATTTCATGAATATTAGATGTACCATGCTATATATGTTGGATATGTATATTATATATTAAGCCAAATTGTTTATAATTTTTAAAATCTGGATTATTCAAAATTTTACAGAATATCTAATGAAACACATGACACACTCATGATGCTATAGCATCCCCTTCAAGAATCATTGATTTATTAAACACATACTATAGGTAAAGGAATGTAGTTTGACTTGTGAGTAGTTATCAAGAAAATTGTAGACATGGTCACTTTCCTACAATCTCAGGGTGGAAAGGGGACAACACATGAAAAGAAGTGCATCCTTCCACCACCACTACCAGCAGCAGCAGCACCAAAAAAAAAAAAAAAAAAGCAGACTATATGGAAGTCTACATACAAAACATTCAAGCTAGTAGCAGTGACTCAGAGCCAGTTCTTAATCTCTCTCTCTCTCCCTCACACACACACACACACACCATGAAAGGTAGGCAACTGAGATGATTTTTTGGGCAGTCAGAGATTCTGGGTTAGTAGATTCCATGATCTGCTAAATGAGAGTAAGACGAGCAGTGTGACTATAAAGACATAATAAGTTCAGTTTGGTTAAAGCTAATGAAGGAAATACATAATGACTACTCATTATAGCAGTCTTAAATACCTCAAGTTTTCAATTTCTTCTTCTTTCTCTACAAGTTTTCTTTCAAGTTCTACTTTAGCCTCCAAGACCTCAAATTGAAAATGAAGAATTTTGTTCTCTTCACGTTCCAAGACACCCTGAAATCAAATACACAAACTGAATTTGTTTTTAGACAACCAAACTTAAATTTTATTTCTTTTATTTTGATGAAAGAGCCACATCATTGATCAGGCAATTAACCAGCATTTATTAAACACTTACTGTATCTCCAAAACCGTGATAGGTGCTAAGAATACAAATACAGAAAAGGGATGGTCCCAGCTCTCATAAAGCTTACATTTTACTTAAGAGCACGCTGTTTTGAGGACAAAGATCTCTTTTGAGTTCCTGGGGAAAAAATGCAGGGTTTTAACTAACCTTTTTCAGGGATCAGAGCAAGATCAGAGGTAATCGAGCAATCTGGTCTACACTGTAATCTTTGTCTTCCATTTTCAGTGGGTCATTCTAGCTGCTATTCAACAATTAAATTTTTTAAGGTTTTAAAGGTATTAAAAGGTAAATACTTTTTTAAGGTATTTAAAAATAGGTTATAGAAAAAAATAGTTATGGTAGGGACTAAAAGCTTGGATTCCTTTGACAAATCCACCAGTGGTAAATTCCTATAATATATATATATATATAATATATGTAAATAATTATATAATATATTATATATGTGAATAATTATATATAATATATGTAAATAAATATACATGAAAGGTAAAACTTAAACATAAAATCATTGAGAAGTTCATGAAGCTATTCAATAGATTCTTAGAAATGTCAGAAGTAAGATTATGAAGTCACTAATGTATTGCTTGACTGAAGGAAGGAGATAGTATAATGTAGTAGAAAGAGTTTTGAATTAGGGAGTTAGGAGGTTTAAAATTTTTTGCTCTACTACTAGCTACTAGTAGAAGACCCTTAACTTTTCTATGCCTCAGTTTTCTCATTAAATACAATTGATGATCTCATAAGTCCCTTCCAGTGCCAAAACTGTTATTCTTAAGAGCAGGACTCTGAAAATAGTAATGTTGATTTTGCTATGTGGTAAGCACTGGTGGATATTTTAAAAATAGACAGAGAGTCAAGATATTAGGAATTTTAGTCATGCTCACCTCCTACCGCCCTGATTTCTAATCTGTCACCTCAATCAAAAGGAAACAAGCTAAAAAAAACCAAACCCAACATTAGATGGCTGTTTCCTCAGGGTGAGCCCATGTAGCTCCTGCAGGGGAAACTGTATAACCTCTAACCCTGAAGAATTCACTGGAAAAAAAAAAAGTTTAATAAAAGAGTTGGAGAAGGTGACCTAGTATAACAATTTAGTTTGGGTTTTTCAAAATGTTTCTGATAAGCTTTCTCATAATGGTTTGCCCAGAAAAAGAAATAAATCAGTTGTACAAATTGATGGAGCCCATGTTGATTAAGCTTTCATGAATATGGCCGAAGTTGGAATCAAATATATGTGGGCAGAGAATAGTGCCATCTAGTGGTAACAAACGATTCAAGGAATACAATTTTAGCACTAGACCCCTTATTAGGCCAATAAGCAGAACAGCCTATATGCGGTGATCTGATACCTCTGACCCAAACTCTCCCCTTGCAGCCAATCATAGTGTCTGAAATTTCCACCATTTTCTCTATACTCCTTTGGATCAATGTATTTTCTCCAGGAGCTCTCTTTCCCAATGCAAATGTCTTATTTTGGAATAAATAATAAAGTTATCTTCATAGTTCTTCCTCCTCCAGGATCAAACTCTTCTAAATAGATTACAACCTTTTTAAGAGAAAGGACTGCAAAAAAAAAAAAAGAAAGAACTGCCTCTTCATTGTCTTCTAATTTCCTTCAGCCTAACACCATTTTATCAAGGACAGTCCTTCCTATTATTGGATATGCTCTATTAGTACCCTGGGGCCATCTCCAGTTGTCCTGATCTCTATCCGGCCACTGGCCCCAGATGACTCTGGAGGAGAGAGTGAGATTGGTGACGTTGCACAGTCCGCTCTCACTTAAATCAAATTCACTTGCAAGTCATGGCATCACCTCCCTGATGTCATGGTTGTCTTCTAGAATGAAGGGCAAACAAGAACAACAACAACAACTAGCAATCTGAAGGACCTCAAGAAATGTTTGTGGATGAAAGGAAAACAAGGCTGACTACCTAACAATTCTACTTGTCTACTGAGGATTTCAAGCACTTTTAAGGAAGAAACCATGATTTCTTCATTTTTGTATCTCTGCCAGTGCCTACCGCACTAAGTACATTGCATGTCAACAACACTAAATAGATGTTTCTTGAATGAATTCTCTATCCATAGACTTAATATGTGAAACTTCTTTCTCAGGCAGGAATCTTAAACAACTTTAAAGATGAGACCTCTGGAACAATCTTCCTCAGTATAGGATATGCTTTTGATGGGTAGTTTCCTTTTGTCATACTCTCCAATGGTCTGTGTGGCACTATTTAAATGCATTTACTCCTCAGATACACATATTTTAAATTGCAGAGGTACTTTTTTTCTAAGGGCAAAATAGAATGAACAATTTAATAGAAAAGAAACTTATTAACAATCCAATGAACATATCTAGTAAATAGTTACTCCATCTTTCTCATGCATACTGAGAAGAGCATTTTAATTGCCAGCTAATGTCCAAGGGGCAAAGGGAAGAGACTTTTTTTTCGTGAGACCTAAGTCAAGAAATAATGAAGAAGGTGACATGCCTCAGTGGAAGGAAATATTCTTAGTATACAGAAGGCCTGAATTTGAAGCCTAATATCATAGTATGGTGGATAGAGTGCTATACTAGATCCACAAGACCTGGGTTCAAATCTCCCCTCCAAAATGAGTAAAATGCTACCTTTGTCACCTGTCTCAGAGGGTTGTTATGAAGCACAAATGAGATAATACATGAAGTCCTTTGTATACTATGAAGTAAACATTATATTACATAAAATTCTTTGTCAACTATAAAATGCTACATGTTAGCTATTAGGTAATATGTTATTTTCATGCTAATAGCTGACATTTAAATAGCACTTTCCGTTTTACAAAGGATTTTACATTCTACTTTCTTGCTTTGCTATTTTTCAGTCATTCAGTTGTGTCTGACTCTGTGACCCCAGGGACCATAGCACCCGAGGCCCTTCTATCCTCCACTGTCTCCCAAGGTTTGCCTAAGCTCACGTTTATTGCTTCTATGACCCTACCTATCCATCTCATTCTCTCCTGTCCCTTTCTCTTTTTGCTTTCAATCTTTCCCATCATCAGGGTCTCTTCCAATGAGTCCTGTCTATCTTAGAGGGTTGCCATAAAAGTCAAAGGTCATAATGTATAAAACAGCCTTTGGAAACTATAAAATGTGATATATCAGCTATTTTAAATTAATGTTAGTAAATAATAATAAATATCACCAATGCCTATATAGCATTTGACAGTTTACAAAGTGTTAGATAAAAAAATTAAAAATAGAGGCAGCTAGGTGGCGCAGTGGATAGAGCACCGGCCCTGAAGTCAAGAAGACCTGAGGTCAAATCTGGCCTCGGACCAAACACTTGACACATACTAGCTGTGTGATCTTGGGCAAGTCACTTAACCCCAATTGCCTCACCAAAAAAAAAAAATTACAAATAATTGACTAATGCATATAAGTACCTAATGACTATGTTTGAGGGAATTTTACATTAATCATGAACTCGAAGAGGTAGAAACACACATCACGGTATCTGTCTTATTCAGCACCATTACTCAAGCCAGCAGGAGAGACCTGCTTGGTTGTGTGTACGAGGGAAATGCAAACCTTCAGCTCTTCCCAGGGATAATACCTCGGCTTTTTCCAGGGCCACCTGGGCCTCTGATTTTTCCTGTTCAGCCAATCTCTTGACCTTTTCCATCTCAGACAGGTTCTTGTTTCCTTCTCTAATCTGGTCTGTCAGATCAGAGATTTCTTCTGAAGAGACAGAAAGAAGAAAAACCATGTTAGTGATGGGTACCAGCTTCAGTTTCATTAAGACTGATACAGCGCTAATATATAGTGACTCTTTGTAACATTAATTTCCCCTCCCTTTTTACCCTCCCCCCTCCCCCCTTTCCTTTTTAATGGTGCTTATCCAAACAGACTGGAAACAGACTAAAGCCAGAGAATATGCATCTTCTAAGATGCTCTCATCAGTTCTTCTGCTCTCCTATTAGGAGGATTCAACAACTACCGAATGCACAGCTACTGAAGAGCGTGAGGAACGTGGATTTAGGCAGATTTGTTCTTTGCCTGCATCCAAGCATAAATCTAGATAAGCTAGAGATGCTCAAGATAGGACTAGAGTAGGCAACAGCCCCTCTAAATTTTAAGTGCACGAGCTCCTGAATGTAAAGGGAAAGGATCAAGCCTTCAGTATGGCGATACAGCAAGCACTGTTGGAAATTCAGTTGCCTGATAGCATTACTGTCATCATGCCTCATCGTAAAATCTCAAGTACATAAAAGATATATTGTGAGCCAGGGGGCATCAGAAAGATAATGTGACTTTGGAAGTAGATAATTAGCCACAGGATGTGGTGCTCCAAGGTCTAATGCCAGCCGTGCCCTTCTGATCTGTGCTTGGGGACTCTGCATCCATCACTTAAATTGTTTGTGCCTAAGTTTCATCCTTTTGTAAAATACAAATGATGAAAATGCTGAATTCCCTCATAAGGGCTATGGCAAAAAAGAGTCTATAATCTTAAGGAGGTTGCAAAACACTTTATAAGTGAAATTTAAATGTTCAGTAATTAGCAGCCTCTACTGGGGTCACATACTCTGATATGCGTTCTTTCTAGAACGGGATTGACTATGATTGACAGATTGGGGACAATGTCTGACCAGGACAATTTGCAGCTTATGCTCCTAAACCAATTGTACCCCACCCTTCAAGGGAGCTATGATTTCATTATCATGAACTCTTTTAACTAGAAGAGAGAACAATTCATCCAAGCCTTCTTTGTCATCCTGTGTCTTATCCATAATTTTCTGTAAGGTAGTTAGGTGGCATAATGGATAGAGAGCCAGACTTGGGAGTCAGAAAGACCTGAGTTCAAATCCTTCCTCAAGCATTTATTAGCTGTGTGACCTTGGACAAGTAACTTAGCCCCCTGAGTCTGTTTCTTCTTCTGCAAAATGGAGATAATAACCTCCCTTAAAGGTTTGTTGCAAGGATCAAATGAGGGAACGTATGTAAAGAGTGTTGCAAACTTTAAAGCGCTATATAAAAGCTAACTATTATCATTATTATATCCTCCATAGAGATCTGACATACTGGAGGCCTTTCGCAGGTTCTTGTAAATATTACATGAATCCCAGTGTACCACTTGGCCTATCTATCTATCCCTTACCCTCACAACTCAACTAGCTCATGGTCTTGTCTGGTCACACATGGGCTGAGGTCATCTGCAGTGCCTGTCCAAAATGTATATAATGATGTGCTAACTCAATGGGTTGTCCATACATTTGCATATTTGGGTAACAGAATTTTTTTAAATTCCACTCTGTTTTTCAGTGTGGGTGGCTAGGTTGCTCTGAAGTGACCATGGATCTCATTGAAGGAGGCTTTTAGTGTTCAAGGGCTCACTGAAATCAGCACATCATCATCTACCACCAGGAACATCTGGAGAATCTTGCCATACATAGAGAATTCCTCTTTGATTTGAACCTTACACAAGGCATGTACCATTTCTCTGGTGAATTCTATCGGTGAACTTATATCTCCCTGTTTTATGTCTCTCCTGATACTGATAGAGATAATCATTTAACAGTCCTCTAACTTCAGTTGTCAATGATCTTAACATCTTGGTAGCAGATCCTTTGAAGAGAACCTTGAAGAATGAATTTTGTTCTACAAAGTCAAAGTCAAAGGCGCATTTTTTTTAAATCAACAAACTATAGACAGAACAGGATCTTACAGTCTCTGCAATTGTGTGGCTCTTTCTGATGTAGAAAATCATTTGAAAAGGTTTGTCTATTCCCTTCTCATATTTTCATTAATGATATCTTCAGATACTTGTTTTAAATGCTCATAGACCACTAAAAGGTCACAAAGCATATGGCTTTCAGGCATTTCACTCAAAAATCTTTTGGTTAGAAAGAAGAGTTACAGCTAACTCACTCATAGTTCATATTCTAGGCATACTCTTCCTTTGAGGATACTACAAGGAATTCAGAAATTCACTCTTCAGGTATGGATTCCAAACAGACTCACTCATCATGGTCCCTCTAATACTTGTATCAATGCATGTAGGGCAGGGTGGGGAGGAGGCAGTAGGGCATAGAACACTGCCCCACCTCCTTCCTATTCTCATTCACATTGAGGCACTAAGTATTCATCGGGGTTGGAAACCCAAGCATTCTAGTCTCAAGGAATGGAGGTTTTCATATTCTCCACCATAAACAGACTCGTTTCCCTTTCTCCACACTCATGCACAAACCACTAGGATTCTCATCTCCTGATATTCCTTCATATATGCCAAACTAACCCTTAGTCAAACTGCTTTTCTCACTATTCTCTATTCTAAACTCTGGCAGTTCTAACTGTCCCCCACTAGCACTCACTTCACCCTCTTTCCTTCACACACTCATAAGCTAGCTTCTACCATGATATTTAGTAAACACCATCATTTTGGTGGTTTAAATAGGGACTGGTCATAATTTAAAGCTTTGGGCAGCTGTCAGACCCTGGTGCCTTCCAGACACAGGATAATCCTGTTTTGTCAGAATTCTCACAGTCCATCAGATTAGAAACTGCGAACATTTCCCCCTTTCCCTATCACCCATGGTGATTTCTGGTGGCAAGAAGGACATAACTGGAAACTTTCAAGATTGAAATTCTGCAGCTCCTGGCCACCCCTCCCTTCCCTGCTTTCTATGATTTGTTGACAAGTTTTCTACCGGAATCTCCACATATATACTTTATGTTTAGTGAATCCTTCGCGGACCTTAGCTCTTTTCAAAACTTCAGGCAAGAAGTGGCATACTTTTGGACCACAAAAATGCTGGGAAGCCTTTTATGAAACATTAGAAACAATGAAGAGACTCCATTTCCAAATAGGCTAGCTGAGAAGAAAAGTCACATCTTCATCTTTTTCAAGTATTCTTATATACTTTTTCATCTTAGATCTCCTGCACAACCTTTCTCTCAGAATCTCAAGTTTTGAAGGGACCAAAGAGACAATCTAGTCCAACCTATACTTGTTTAGGAATTGACATTGCAACACCCACAAGGAATGGTTATCCACTTTTAGCCTGAATATCTCTAGCAAGGAAGAGAAAACACTGGTTACTGGAGCAGTCCATTTCACTAGGGGGTAGTACTGGTTAGAAGTTTATTTCCCCACTTCAAATCTAAATTTGCCTCTGTACAACTTCGACACGTTGTTCTGAGTTTTGCCCTATTAGGTCAAGCAGAAAAAGTCGAATCCCCTTTTTAAAAGTGACAGTCTTTTAATTATTTAAAGATAGCTATCATAACTCTGCGAAGTCTTTATTGTTAACTGTTATTATTATCAGAGGAAGACTGGATCTCCCTATGTTGCCCAGGCTGGAAGTACAGTGGCCATTCATGGGACCAACTCCAATACTGATCAATACAAAACCTGCCTCATTTGTTTCTGACTTGGGCTGGCTCACCCCTCCTTAGGCAGCCTAAAGGCCCTCCTCTCCTGGGGGATTCACTATATTGGTGCCAGAGTTAGTGAGGAAACCTGATTGGCTTTAGGCTTATTGTAGCTCGGAATTCCCAGACCTAATCAATCCACCAGCCTCAGACTTCTCAATATCAGGGGCTACAGATACATGCCAATGTGCCCAGCTAAGTCTTTTCTTCTTCAGTTAAATACCTCTAGTTCCTTCATCAGATTTTCCTATAGTCTGATCTTGAGGCCTCCCTATCATCCAGGTTGCCCTCCTCCAGATCTCCCCAGCTTATCAATGTGGTCTCCTAAAATATGGTCCCCCCTTTTTTCCTTTCTCTTAAGAAATTCGCATGATAATTTTATTATATATTTAAAAGAAATAGCAAGTTGTACATAATAGATTTCCAGTTTCATGTGCAGTCATTTTTTATTATATTATGTTATGGAAATGCTTGTTTTATTCCATAAATTAAAAATAAAATAAAACAAAAACTAGATTCACAAGCTCAAAAAAAAAAATTAAAATGTGGTGCCCAGATGTTATCTGATGACATCAGAGTGGTGTAGGACTGCAACCTTCCATATTCTGGGTATCACTGACCTCACATAACGTTAACTTTTTTGGCTGGAATGTCATACAGTAGTTCATAAATTTAGAGCTGGAAAGGACATTAGCAGTCATCTAGTCCAACATTATTGGACTAGAAGCTGAGGCCCAGAGAGGTTAAATGATTTGCCCATGGTCACACAGGTAATAAGTGACAGAGTTGGGATTCAAATTCAGGCCCTGTGACTCTAAGTATCCTTATAACTACATGACACTGCTATTGATATTCATTCCATTAATACCACCCCTTCTGAGAAATTTTCCCATGAACCTTCATCTTGCCATCCATCCCCCGTACTATATCTATGAAGCTGATTTTTTTTTAAATCAGGTTACAGGAAGACTTCACATTTATCTCTATTACAGTACATCACATTCTAACTGCCCCAGCGTTCTAGCCTATTGAGCTCACTTTGGTCCACAACAGCCAGTTCATCGGTGTTTGAAGTAGCTACATAAAGGGCTATACAAACATAAGGCATAGACCTAGTTACATGAGTGCATAAAGACTTTGTTAAAGTTGTTTTCTCCAGGTCCATGGTCTGCCCAACATACCATGGAGGTTCTTGTTTTCTCTTTTCAGAGCCTCCTGGTTCACTGTAATCTCTTCATAAGCTTGCTTGAGCTTAAACAGCTCTTTGCTCATGCTTTTTGCCTCTATCTGAGAGGCTTCCAGCTCTGCTTGAGAGTTACTGTATTTCTGCTTCCAGTTAGTAAGGACTTTGTCAAAGTTCCTCTGCTTCTCATCGAGGAAGGCTGCTGTACAATGGACCTCCTCCAGGTCAGATACAACATCTTCCAGCTCCAACCGGAGTCGTTGCTTTGTCTTCTCAAAGGAGGTGCTTTTGGCATTGGCTTCCTGGATGGCCTCACCAGCTGCCTGAAAGCAAAATGCTAGCTTCTTCCTAAGCAGAAGAAAGGGACGATAAAAGAAGCCCTACTAAGAGAACCCATCTAACTTTATCTTTGAATCAATATAGTAAAATACTTAACAAGAGGGACCAGACATTTGATTTATACATATGTCTGTATATATGTAATATACATAGATGGACAGACAGACAGAAGGTTATAGTCCTCCACTACTCTGATGTCATCCAAACACATCTGTTTTAGAGATGACATATATATGTGCATGTGTGCATGTGTATATATAAATATATGTATACATATACACATATGTGTGTGAGTGTGTATATAAATGTTTATACATATACACACATATAAATGTATCTGTGCATATAATACAAATTAAATATATCTGTACAAATATACACACATATTTCAGTTATATTCAGTATTACTATCAGTATACTTAGTATATTATTTATAATATATATAGGTATATAAATGTATATATGTGTATTTCAGTTATACTTAGTATTACTATCAGTATACTATGTATAATATATATACACATAAATATGTATATGGTGTGTAAATATAATAGGTGTGTACGTTGTTGTTCAGTCATTTTTCAGTCACATCTGACTCTTCATGACCCCATTTGGGGTTTTCTTGGCAAAGATACTACAGTGGTTTGCTATTTCTTTCTCCAGCTCATTTTACAGATGAGAAAATTGAGACGAACAGGGTGAAGTGACTTGCCCAGGGTCACACAGCTAGTAAGTGTCTGAGGCCAGATTTGAAATGAGGAAGATGGAGTCCAAGGCCAGCACTCTATCCACTGTGCCACCCAGTTGCCCTGAGGACAAGGGGGATGCTTTTAGGACATCTCCTGTAGAGTAGGCATTCAAACAGCACGTCCAAGATAGTATTCATTATTTTTCCCCCAAAATCCACCCTATTCCAAACTTCCATTTTACTGTTGAGGGCATCACTATCTTCTCAGTCACCTAGGCTCACACCTCAGTGTCATCCTCAACTTCTTGCTCTTACTCAACATACATATTCAATCCATTGCCAAATCTTGTTGCTTCTTTCTCTGAAACATCTCTTGAATACATCTCCTTCTCTCCTCTCACACAGCCACAATCCTAGTTAAATCTCTCTTCACCTCTTGCCTGGACTATTGTCCCTGCCTTGTTGCTCTATCCTCCACTCAACTGCCAAGTTTTTTTGTTTTGTTTTGTTTTGTTTTGTTTTGTTTTAGGCAATTGAGGTTAAGTGCCTTGCCCAGGGTCACATAACTAGTAAGTGTCAAGTGTTTGGTCTGAGGCTGGATTTGAACTCAGGTCCTCCTGATTTCAGGGCCAGCGCTCTATTCACTGCGCCTCCTAGTTGCCCCTCAAGTTATTTTCTAAAGCTTAGGCTTGACCATGTCGCTCTACTGCTCAATGAACTTCAGTGGCTCCCTATTGCCTCCAGGATCAAGTAAAAGTCCTCTGTTTGGTATTTGGTATATAAATACTTATACTTCCTCAATATGATACTCAATCTCCTGTCCTTTCCATGCTTTTGCGTTAGTTGTCCCCCTACTCCTAGAATTATTTGCCCCTAAACTCCACCTCTCAGTTTCCTTCTCCTCTTTCAAGACTCAACTTAAATCTTGTCTTTTCCTGAAGATCTTACCTCATACACTAACTCTTACGATCCTGGGCAAGTCATTTAACCTCTTAAACTCATCTTTAAAATTAGGGGGTTGGATTTGATGACTACTAATCTCCCTTCCAGCTCTAAATATATGGAGGAGAGGGGAGGAAACAAGCATTTATGTAGCATCTACTACATGCCAGGCACTATGCTAAGTGCTTTTACAAGAATGATCTCATTTGATCCTCACAACAACCTTAGGAGATAGGTACTATTATTATATCCATTTTACAGTTGAGGAAACTGAGGCAAAATAAGATACATGACAAAGCTAGTAAATCTCTGAGGTTAGACTTGAACTCAAGCTGTCCTGACTCCAAGACAAATGCTCTATCTACTGCACATATGACAATAAATAATATATTATTATAGTATATGATATTTATATATGATATAATAGTATTGTATAATGTAATGTATTTATGTATTATATGATAAAATTGTATAATATAATATTAGATAATATTATTTGTTACTCCTATATATTGTACAATGTGTAATAATATTCTATGAGTATAGAATATTATGTACTATAACAATATACGATATAATAATATGACCCTATGATTGCAAGAAATAATATTTCAAAAAACAGCAACGGGACCTGAAGAAAGAAAGGGTATGTAGACAACTTAGCTTGAGATCCAAGGAAACATAGCTAAAGAGCATTTATCAACGAAATTAGAAAAAGGACAAGCAGAAATGAAATCGATGGACCCACCAAGATGTTTCCATTGACTAAGACCTTTCACAACCTGGCTCCACTGCTCAATGAACTTCAGTGGCTCCCTATTGCCACTTTCCATCTTAATATACTTTACTTCCCTTCACCCCCACAATGGTCTGGCCAAACCGGCCTCCTTATTTTTATATGACCATTTCTCCTGTCTCTATGCCTTTGCATTGGCCGCATCCATGCCTGCAATCACTTTCTCTTCGCCACGACTTCCTTCAAAGCTCAGCTTCCAATGATGCCTTTTGTCTAAATCCTTTCCTGATTTCTTTGCCCCCAACCTGACCAGCTGCCAGTGCCTCCTCTCTCAAATTACTTTCAATCAATATTGCAGATATTCTGTAGATATCGCTATACATACCTGTCCTCTCCCTTCCTATACTTTTGTCTTTATATCTCAGCACTTAGCATAATACCTGGCACAAAGTAGGTGCTTAATAAATGCTGGTTGATTTATGGGCTTAATATGATTGATTACAGTAGAACCACCATATATGGACTTTAACTAATGTTACCAAACTGGTGTGCCATATGAGAAGAATGGAAATGACATTCATGAAAATCTAGTTGGGAAAAAATGATTAGAGCATATCTGATAAGTGGTCACCCAACCTTAGCTTAAAGCACAAAATTTAGGTAGGAAGGGAACCCACCACCTCCCAAAGTGGCCATTCGACTTTGATAGCTCTCTTTGTTATGAAGTTTGTTCTTATATGGATTGGCAGCTTTGCAACTGCTACATGCTGCTCCTAGTATTTCCTTTTGGGGTCAAGCAGAATAAATCTAATTCTTGTTCCAGGCTATAACCTTTTAAATACTTGAAGATAGTTGTCATATCTTCTCTTGTCCAGGCTAAATATCCTTAGGTTCCTTTAAGCAATTCTCCAGTGGCAAATATCTGAGCACATACAAAATAAATCCATGTTGAAGGTGATAGAATTTTAAAGATACTTAAAGATTGATTTTTCAAGTCCTTAAAGAGAGGAAGATTATAATACATGAGAAAAATCCACAGACAGTATTAATATGAGGGAGAGAGAGAGATGATTAAGAAGACTTCAATTAACTACTGACCCACAGGCCTACTATCTCATTGTTGTAAAATCATTACGAGAACATCCTGAGCATATAGTCAGGGAATCCTTAATAATACCCTAGCAGGGCAGCTAGGCGACACAGTGGATAGAATGCTGGGCCCAGAATAAAGAAGACTCATCTTTGTGAGTTCATAGTTGGCCTTACATAGGTGTGTAACCCTGTTTGCCTCAGTTTCCTCACCTGTAAAATGAGCTGGAGAAGGAAATAGCAAATCACTCCAGTATCTTCGCCAAGAAAACCTCAAACAGGGTCACAGAGTTAGACATGATGGAAAACAACAGAACAACAATAATCCTTGATTATTATGATAAGATATGATTGTTATGATATGAGAGGGAAGAAGTAGACTTTCATAAATAATATTCTACAGCACACCACAACTTTGCAGCTACCAAATTGATTGAAATGTATAAAGTTTTCACTATTCATTTTATTTTGTTTCAGCCAACATGTATTAAATGCCTACACATACAAGCTAATGAGTCAAATACTTTTTTATTATTCATAAGAATAAAACACAGCCTGAAATGGATTTGTCCAATAAAATGTCTCCCATGCATGTATTAGTCAAATAAAATTACTTGATAAATTCAACTAGTAAGAGAATTTAGTTTCCAGATTCTTCAGGTTAACAATATTAAGCAAAGCAATGTTTTATAACATCCTCATCAAAGGTGTTTACCATTTTTGAGAAAAGTTCTGCTCAGAGTCCAAAGGAGAGAAGGATTTCCTGTAGATGATAAAGGTCTCCAATGCTCCTGGCTACAGATAATATAGTATTGTGTGGATTGTACTACATCTTGGAATATTCTTCTAGATCCAATGAGGCACCAGGATTCTGCCACGTCCCACCTCAACTATCACCCAGAACCACCAACTCACCATCCGCCCTCACCCATGTCATGTGCATACAGACCCTCCTATCCACCCCTCCTGCTTTCCACCTTTTGTTCAGGGATTCATAATCAAATCAACATTACCTTTGCTACTGTGAAACATGTAACAATCTACTAGCCTAGAGCTCCACTCAAAAGTCCTGGGATTCTGAATTGCAGGCTACCTATGTTGAATCTCCTTTCCATGGCCTTATTCATCCTTCTCATGCCCCTAATCACATTCTAGCCTGACCTTCCATTGTGCCCTCTGAAACCTCCAGTCTATTGCCTTTCATATTAGGTCTTTGTCCTCCCCCTGGAAATCTCTATTGAATTTTCTATGTGCATTTTCTTCCTCCTCAACAGTACAAAAGCTCCTGAAGGAGGACTTCTTTGTTTTTGTCTTTGTGTCTCCAGTTCCTAACATGGTTAATGGTGTGTAGTAGGCACTTAATAAATACCCACTGAATTTAATTGAATCGAACACTACAGTGATACCCTAGTGAGTTTCATAACCACTCAAGAGACTGGCACAGAAACAGGCTGACACACACTGACAAGCAGGGAAAAATCAAGTTGATGAAGAATGAATATTTTTCAAATTATGAAATGCATTTGGATGGACAGTACATTGAGTTATTTGATCAGTTCATATATTTTAGGCAGACACTGAATAAGGGCAATGAACTGGGCTCAGAATGGAATAGGATCAGGAGATTGGGCTGCATCACATTTGGGAAACTGCATGGTTCTCTCAATGATTTCAAACTGCTCCCTGCTGCCAAAGTGCATCCTTTTAACATGAATATTCTCCTGATGATGCTGCATGGCTGCAAATCATGAAACACAACGACCCCAAAAGAATTAAAAATTGCAAATGGTCCAAGAACAATGGGAAGACGCATGGCAGAAATAAACAGGCTGAGCATGTTATGTAGGGTAACATGCCACTTTCTCATGGGCAGAAAACATCATCCCTGACATACTTTGGACTGGAAAAGGAGATGGGCCAGTTATGCCATCAAGAGTGACATATGACAGAGGGACATTCTAAGTATTACACTGGTTGCTCATGAAATACTCAAAGACCAAGGGGAAGACCTCTACAACACTGGGCAGATGGGAATAATAACAGTAGCTATTTCATAATGTTGTTGTATGGATCAAATGAGATAATGGATGAAAAGCATTCTTAACCTTAAAGCATCATGTGAATGACAGATATTTACCCTCTATAGAGAGATACTTCCCCTCTAAAGCGATATTTTTGTAGAGGGATATTTGCCCTCTACAGACGAAGAACATAGACCCCTGTAGAACTTCTGTTCAGGTTCAGAAGACATGGATGCATGATGGTCTGTACCCATGAAAAGAACATTACTACTGTCATAAGCTGTGTAACAAGGCAACTGGGGACATAGTTGATGGTGTTGGGAGTCAGTCAAGAAGAGTTGAATTCTGATTCAGCCACAGACTCTCACTAGCTGTGTGACCCTGGGGGAGTCACATAGCCTCTTAGTGCCTTAGCTTCCTTATCTGTAAAATGGGCACAATGATAGCATTGGCTTTAGAATGTTATAAAGATCAAACGAAGCTATTTATGTAAAGTACTTTGTAAACCTTAGAATGTTATAGAAATGTGAGCTATTCTCGCTGTTATGAGCTCATAGCTCCATTAAAATCTGTGCACTTTAATGTTTACAAAGGGATTTTCAAAACAACCTTGTAAGAGTTACCAAAGGCAAGATAATTCCCATTTTACAGATGAGGAAACTGAGATTCAGCAATTACAAATCATTTGCCTAGAATTATACAGCTAATAAATCTGGATTTGAACCCACACACATCTTTTGGTACTAAATTGAGTGCCCTATTTATACCACACTGTAATAAATTGAAGTCCAATACTATAGTTGAAAGATAGGCTCATGGATTTCAGTCTGGAAGGGATCTCAGAGTTACCTAGTCCAGTATCTTCATTTGATAAAACTGATACATAGAGAGGAAATTCCTGTCCTGGGCCCTCTTCTCTTTTTTGGTTTATAACATCTCACTTGGGTTCACACAGGCTCACAACCAGGGTATCATTCTCAACATCTTGCTCGCATTCACTCTAGATATACAATCTATTACCAAATCTTGTCACTGTTTTCTCCATGTCTCCTGCATACATCTCCTTCTTTCCACTTAGACAGCCATTACCGTTAGCTCAAGCCCTCATCACCTCTGGCCTGAATTACTGCAATAACCTCATAATTAGTCTCCCTTACATCTTTTCCCAACTTTATTCCATCCTCCACTCAGCTGCCAGAGTGATTTTCCAAAAGCCAAAGTTACTCACCCAACCCAATAAATTCCAGTGGCCCTTCTCTATTCCCTCTGCTTGGCAATTAAAACTCTTCATAACCTGGCTTCTCCAGTGTTTTTACACTTTGATCTCTACATACTCCATGATGCAGATACGATGACTTACTTGCTACACTTTGCACATGACACTCCATTTTCCATTCGTGCCTTTGCACAGTCTGTCCCTTATGACTGGAATGGTTTTCCTCCTCCCTTCTAACTCTTAGTTTCCCTGGTTTCCTTCAATCAATCAATTATTAACCATTTATTAAGCACCTACTATGTGACAGGTACTGTTCTAAGTGCTGGAGATATGGACAAAAACAGTCACTGCCCTCAAGGAACTTACATTCTAATGTCTTCAAGACTGAGCTCCAATTCTGCTTTCTTTGGGACCCCTTTTCTAGTCTCCCCAACTTTTAGTTGGTCATTCCTACTAAGAGTTTTCTACAGGGAATTTCCTACTAGGAGTTGCCATTCCTACTAAGATTTTTTGCCATCTACTTGGTATACATTTTGTATGTACCTAATTATTCACCTGTCATCTCTCCTGTTAGAATGTGACCTCTTTAAGAATAGGGGTTGTTTCTTGCCTTTCTTTATCTCCCAGAACTTAGCATGATGTCTGACATAGAGTGAATGCTTAATAAATGTTTTTTGATTGACTCATTGCTAAATATTTAAATACTGAATATGTGCATGGCGTTTGAAGGGTGCTGGGGTGGGAGGGAAGCATAAAAAGTCATATATAATATAGATTCCACCCTCAAGAAACTTATTATTTGGAAAAAGTAAAAAGGAGACACTAGAATGGGATAAAATAGCCTATATTCTATTTCTAAAAAAGCAAACAGACAGATCCTCAGTTTCCCAAATTTAAAGTGGGTATGCTAAAATGTGTGCCATCTATATCCTGACATGTTTATGAAACAGTTAGCTTCCCTTTAAGCTTCTGAGATGAAAGCATGATCTAGACATAGCTTGATTTATTTATTTTTGCTACTATTTAAGAAGAGAGAAAATAAATTCTCCACAAGCCATTAATGACAAATAATGGAGGGATTGATATCCCTGACCTAATTAAAGTCTATTCACTCCAAGACCAACTCCAACAGAACGATGTAATCATCAAACCAGACTCCCTCTCATTTGCTCCTTTGCTCTCCTTAAAAAAATTTTAAAACTCATCAAAGTAAAATGAAAGATAGCTGCCTTTCCCATCCATCTTCCATCATTAGAAGGGGAAGAATCTCACTTCAAAAGCAAATGCTATATTTAGAGTTGAGGAGGTATTTCATTTCAAAGTCCCACTTCTCTATTGCCCACAGTTTTCAATAACATCTGATGCAGGTATTTTTAGTGTCTGTCATCCCAGAGCCCTTTTAAAATGACTGTGGATACAGAGACAGATCACTTTGTACACCTCTGGGACAGAATACAGCTGCTGCTCAGGGACCACTTTATGGGAGGGATTGAAAAGAGAGAATGCCATCGGTTGAAGCCAGAAGAGGAGTTTAGTTGTCCGCTCTGGATTTGGGCCAAGATAGCAAGTGAAGGACTTATTCTTTAGAGCAAAGCTCTGTTGTGATCACAGGCCCTCATAGCAACTGTCTGACGTTTTCTGAAATATACCCAGTTCTTCAGGATCTCAGAACAAAATGCTTCAGTGGCTGCGTTTGATGCTTTACTAGTGATCCTCTGAGCCGGCTGGGACCCTACATTTCAGGAATTGCTATGGAAAACCAGAAAAATCTTTGCATCAAGTTGTCAGTAAAATTCATTTTCTAACCATAGCATTTAGCTCGGGTGACCTGAGCATGCCTTAGGGTTATTGTTGTTGTTTGCTTATTTGTTTGATTTAAGCAGGGGACAGCATGGTATACTATATGGTGGAAAGAGCTCTGGCTTTGCTATCAGTAGATTTGGATTAAAACTCTGCCTTTGACATTTATTGCCTGTGTAACCTTGGACAAATTACAACCTCTCTGTGCTTCAGTTTCCTATAAAAGGAGGGGGCTGGGCTCTGTGATGTTTAAGTTCCCCTCCAACTCTGAATCTATGACTTTATGGAGACCTATGGAGACCTACATACAAAGCCTGCCTCTGTTATTAACTCTATATGTGACCTTAGGCTAATTTAACTTCACCTATCTTCTATCTATTAACTTCTATTGTATTCTAATCTATTATCTTCTACCTATTAACTTCACCTATCACCTAACTTCTCTGGGCCTCATTTTCCTCATCTATAAAATGAGGGCATTGACTTAGATGACCTGGATGGCTCAGTGGATAGAGCACTGTACCTGGAGTCAGGAAGACCTGAATTCAAATCCAGCCTCAGACACTTACTAGCTATGTGACCCTGAGTAAGTCACTTCATTTGTATTTGCCTTAATCCACTAGAGAAGGGAATGACAAGCCACTCCAGTATCTTTGCCAAGAAAACCCCATGGACAAGAGCCTTATGTGTTATGGTCCATGGGATCACAAAGATTCAGACATGACTAAACAACTCAACAACAACAACAAAGTTTCCTTCCAGCTCTATATTTATGTTCTTTAGATTTTTGATAACAATCGAATCTTTTTAGTACCGTGAAACAAAAGTTGTAGGTACAAAAGTGCTATCAGAAGTCCATGACCCACTTTTCACTGACCTCTTATAAACCACATATATGAGGCCTAAGTGCAGAGACATAATGGCTACTTATACACACATACTCCCACGAGTGCACACACACACACACACACACACACACACACACACACACACACAGATATAGACCCAATTATTTTGGTGGCCAAAGTGGAACATGGCTGTAAGTAAGGGTGTCTTTCCAAGCCACACCAGTCAAATCATGATCTTTTCACTCATCAACAGAATTAGCTGGGATACTAAGTTCATCAGAGAACAGTCGAGGGTAGTACCACTTACTTGGCTTCCTCAAAGTCTTTACTCTTCTGGGGAGTATGTGTCTCATAGTGAGTCCTCCAGTGCACCACCTCTGCACACCCCTTGGTCAAAGCCCACAGTAGCTTTGTCTTGGCCTCCTGTTCTTCCCTGTATTGGCCCTTCAGAAGGTCATAATCATGTTTTGCCCACTGCAGGGCACGTGCAAGGACTTTCTTGAACTACAAATGACAAAAGTACCTTTGTTAATTATAGCTTAGGAGTGGGCCAACTTACCCACAAAAAACAAAGTCCAATCATATATTCTATTCCCAATACAGGCTACACTGAAATAGAAAAATTGGGGACTATAGAATACTGGACCAAGAAAGGAAAGATTAAAGTGTTTTTTTTTAATTACTGCTTTCATAATTACGTAGGGGAGATTAATTTGTTCCAGCTTGTCCTTGTTTGAATATTTGGACACCTTGGGCATGTAGACAAAAAGTTCCAAAAAGAAGGGAACAGAATTTTAAAGTGAAAATATTCATTATCCTTTAGGCAACAGGAAATATGCCTTGTAATGTGCATGAGGTTATACAGGCCACAGAGTCTTTCCCTCATAGTATTTCTCCTCTTCCCTTTAGCAAATCCTAATATTAAAAGGAAAATCAGACACTCTCATCCAAACTATGTCTGACCAAGAATGCTTTCTACAACACTCCTGACAAGGATCATCCAGCCTTGTGTGAAGACCTATTGTAAAAAAGAATGATTTCCAGCAAGAACAAATCGAATCTGCCTTCCACATAAAAGCTTTTCAAAGACTTAGTCACGGGATAATGAACTTAAAGCTTAAAGGGACTTTAGGGGTCATTTAGTCCTATCTTTTCATATTATAGCTGAGAAAACTTAGGCCTATAGAAATTAAGTGTCCTACTTTGTATCTCTAGTGTTTAGTGTAGTGCCTGGTAACAAATACATGTTGAGGTGTTGACTTTTCCATTTCCACCATTTTTATTTAGAGCTAGAAGGGACCTCATGGTCCAAACCTGTTGTTTTACAGATGAGGAAACTGAGGTCTGAAGAGGATAAGCTACTTGCAATTGAAACCTAGGTCCTCTGATTCCAAATCTTGTAGTCTTTCTAATGTACTGTGCTTCCTCATGAACCATCATATCCCCCATAAGTCTTCCCTTCAGTTCTTTAAACCTCTATTTGCATGACCTGGTCATCAGTACCCCTAACATCCTTTTGCCCTTTTCTGGATGATCTCTGGCTTGGTGATCCAGTCAACCCAGCAGTGCATTTTCATAAAAACCTCATCTGAAAAGCAAAATGATAACATTTTACAGTGAGCTGACTGAAGAAGTTTCTAAAAATATCCAAGGATATTTTATAGAGATTTGCCATAACTCTATTCTTGAAACCCATGACTTATTGGTGGGACCACTTTATATCAGGGTTATTTTTGTCTTTTGGTAACTAAATCTCCTTGAATGGGTTATTAGTTGAAACTATCTTATACTGAATTTCATTCTGTGATGGTATCATGACAGTAGTGTTGATCAGGGCCCTCAAGAAACTAGATTTCTCTTATCCTAACTCTGATATTACCTACCTTTGTGATTCTGGGCAAATGACATAACCTCTTTGAGTCTCAATTTCTGCATCACTAAAATAAAAAGGTTAGATGAGATGATTTCTAAGGTCCTTCCTGCTTTTGGAGTTCTATGATTCCAAATTCTCACATTTCAATTGCCCGTGCTAATTGAGATTCTGTTGCCACTGATATTGCTTATTAGTAATTTTATCTTCTCTCAGAGGAAGCCATGGTTATTATATTTTATGATTTGCTGATAACTTTAACAACAAATCCAAAAATATTGCTGATCAAATAAAGCCACACAGTTATCATTATGTCTTCCACATACATTCAATCAAACATTTCATTAAACACTTCACCTTTGGGGATTTACTTTTCTAAACGTTCTAAAACTTTCCCCTCTCCCTGCCTCTCTCTATAGTGATAAAACCAGAATGGATAAATATGCTTTACTGGCCCTTAATCTGACAGACTATGGAGAAAACCTGAATTCCTGAAGCAGAATGCTTAGTAATCAAAATTTATTTGTGAGTATTGAAATCTTCCTGACACACGCAGGGCCCAACCTCTGCTTTCCTATCATTTAAAAGGAAGCACCTTTCCCAATTCATTTTAAACTAAGAGCCTTTCAGGACATCTCAGGTCTAATTGAGAAAAAAACAACTTGTCAAGGAGTATTATTCTGTGGCTCTCAGAGGTGCGCGCCTACTGTGAAATAAGGAAGTTGTTACTTCAGTCTCCTGTTCCAGCAGCCTTCTCAGTTCTTCAATCTGCAGAGTGAAGTTACTCTTTCCTCTGGAGAGTTCACTTGTTGGAGTCTCCCTCTCTTCCAGCTGCCCTGAGAAACCATCTAAAGAAAAAAATCACCAAACGAGTCAGCTGAGACCTTCCAGGGCTCCATCCCTCGCTCCCCTCACCTAGTATATGGACTTACCTTTTTCACTCTCGAGTTTCAACTTCTGGGTGGTAACATCATTTACCAATCTGGCCATCTCTTCAAGTCTAACATTTGTTTCATTAAATTGGTTTTCAAACAGTTTACAGAGCTTCTCAGCCTTTGACTAAGCATTAGGAAGGAAAAAGACAGGAAGTTGATTATAGCAGAGTGACCTATTTTTAGAACAAAGGAATCCATCTTTGTTCTTTACTTAGTTCTCAGACTAGCTGGCAGACAGGAGTGCATTTGAGGGTTTTCTGGGAGGAAAGCACACAGATGGCTCAGTAGTAGGACTGATTTATGGAAGCATAGGACAGGGACTGAATCTGTGATTTCACTGGTATAGGTAACTCCCAGGGAATACAGGCCAACATGGCATGGTTTTAGAGAGTTGCCTAGAGTACTGAGTCGTTAAGTGTCTTTCCCAGGATCACACAGGATGAACACAGGTATGTGAGAGGAAGGACTTGAACTCAGGTCTTCCTGGCTGTGACATTGCTTCTCTTATTATTGAAGCAATATAGGATAATGGAAGGATTAATTAGTTTCTTCAGGGATTGGGAAAGAAGACCTAGTCCAATGCCCTCTTAATCCTGGTCCTTGTTTCATGACCTTGGGAGTATCTCAGACCCTGAAGAGCTAAGACAAAAGGAAGACCACTAGTTGAACACATCTACCACACCCTGAGCAATCCATCCTTTTCTGGTGCTGAGGCATTTTATACCCTTCAGGAGGCTTGGATGGTTACATACCAGCAGTGCCCTCCTGATCTAACTAAATCTATCTAAGAACTTTTCTCTTTTTCTCCTTTACTTCCTAGGCAGCCTTGTGTAAAGCAACTCAAGGGGTGGAAAAGTTAGGAGGGACTTTGAGACATGAGATCTTACCCTTGGGAGCTGCAGGATAAGTGATAGGTGTATGCCACACTGGGGTGTGTGTGTGTGTGTGTGTGTGTGTGTGTGTGTGTGTGTGTGTGTG